GTTTAGTGCTAGATTTGGCAATCGAAGAAAGATGACGTGGTAGAATCCAATACCAAAGCCTTTCGAGGCCACAGCTGAACCACCAGATTTTGAAAGGTACAATATGATGTGTTGGTTTCCGACCGAGAGAATAGCCACTGAAAGCAATAGAAGTCGAAGAAACGTGTCGTGGCCGATATCGGAAATTGACGGCTAGATGGAAGCCAAAGGTGAACCACAGGTTTGTGAAAGGAAAGATTGGAAATCGATTGATGTTGAAAAAGGTAATGATTTGAAATGAAATGTATCGATGGAATTGAAGGGATATATATTGAAATTCTTCTTCATGGCCTTCAATCGAAACAAATTACGAAAATGGTCGTCATCGATTTCATGTTCGATTCAAGATGAAGCTTTTGAATGGCAAGAAGGGATGCCACAAAAAGATGAATATGATTTGATGGTTAGCTAGCCCTCGAAGTCTAATAAGTATGATTGTGGAGCGGATGAACTGCAAGCTGACCTTTCCTGATGGTATAAAACCCTTCCTTGTGTGATATGATAACGACAAATAAAGTTCAAGCCAAACAAGGCCCAATATCAGGCAACTGAAGAAGCCGTCGTTTCGTTCTGAGACTGGTGGTGTTGCAAGATACAAGTTTCGTGCAAACGCCGGCTGCACCACCGGTTGCTGACTGGTGGCAAAGGCTGGTGAACGGTGGTGAAGATGGAAATCGAAAGGTGAGGTGGATTGAGAACAAGGGGCAGAGAAAGGTGTGGGAAGAAAAGCGGCTGGAGATTTACATAACGGTTGAATACAACTTGATTATGAAGTCCGACCCTGAAGTGGTCAGGAAAGGGTCCGGTCCATGGATTGACAGCCATGCCGGAGCCGGTTTCTTTCTAGAATCTGTCAGGCATGAGCCAAGACAGAGACGGTTTAGACAGCTTTAGACATATTGAACTACAAGGTTGGACGTCCAAAAACTTAAGATTTCAAGTTTTGGACAATAGAGTAAAATCCGGGTGCGACACAAAGAGGCCAAAAACTGCCATGAAATCCTTTAGTCGCTGTAATAGAGTTTTTGTAAATTTTTGACCTACATATGAACAAAGATATGTACAAAACTCTTATTAAACTACTTTCTTATCCATATAAATTGAATTTCATAATGATTTCTGTCATATGATGCTTCTCAGACTCTAGCATCTTCAAAGCTCAAAGATCAATGTTAGATCTAGCTTTTCATTTACAATTACAGCTCATAATATCACAGGCAAGTTCTAAGGTGAAAAATGTGGACAATGTTATCGATCTTGTTTTATATTTATATGGAAACGACTCGGGCCACACTCATCTTTGCTACGGCCACACTTCACGTGACTTGGCTACACATACTACATACATGTATTTACTAGCCTTCAAATTCACATTCCAGATCAATGATTCAGGGAGAACCAACACAGCCATTACCACCACCACCATCTCTAAAACATTAATTGGACATACGGTGAACGCTTGACATGATTATTTCATGGAAGCTGAAATGCTTGAATAACAATTACAAACTCTTGAAGAATCTAATCCGGAAGTTCATCAGCGTAATAATGCTGGATTATGCTCACAATCGCCATCGACTTAAATTGCAGGAGTCTGCAAATCGACCCCAAGCTTGATTTTTACTGTTTACCAACTACTTACTCAAGATATGAACTTGTGTTTCACTATGTAAGCTTAACAAAGCCCCTCACAAGCGCGTTCGCCGCGCCCTCAAAGAGGCCTCCGTGAACATGTGCAATTAAAAACAATCATATGATCACTTTGATCCAGTCTAAATCTTTAAAGTCTTCTATTCCTGAGAAATCCTTGGGTGATGTGAAAAACTCAGCAAACTAATTGGTGGTCTTGACTAAGCGTTTGATTCCCTGCCTCACTCCCATACCATCCAACTCAAATTGACTTTCCAATAACCTTCCTCAAGGTCTCTTGTTACCTACTGTCTCGCATCACGGAAACAATTCATTGTAACCAACTCGATATACAATGCATTGAGCGATCATGATCAAACCTGATCAAACATGACTGTTCAACGATTACATTTAAATCATCCCTTTTCCACCTCACTCTTCCCGCTCGTTTCCCAATCCTTTGATTATCAAAGAAAAAAATATGCACAGTTACATGTAGTGTGGTTAATACTAAAATTCTAATACGGAATACTTGTATGTATGTGTAGCCAAGTCACGTGAAGTGTGGCCGTAGCAAAGATGAGTGTGGCCCGAGTCGTTTCCTATTTATATTGATGTGTTTTGAAGATAAACTTTTGCTTACAGTGAAAAAATTCTCTTTTTGATCTTGTTTTTTTAGTAGCTTGATAACTCATTGAAGGTTAGTGAATTATACATTCTTGATCTGTGAATATAGGAGCAGGTGTGAACAAATTTTTTGATGTCATTTGATGACCTTGCATATTTTTTTTGTAATTCTGTTATGATTTTGTCGCAGTCATTGGTAGTCTCTGGCCTGCCAGTGACTACATATTAGCTGGGGGCTGTGTGTGTAGGTAAACATATGTGATGTGAAATGGATGTACAGGCCAGTTCTGATGTGCAGCAAATTGGCAATGGTTGACATGATCCTGAGACCTGCAAAAGTTGTGGTTGGAGCAAAGGTCCCAGTGTACTCAATATCTTCTCTTTGGTTGCAACCTTTTGCTACTATTCTGGCTTTAAACTTGGTTAGATTACTTTTTCATTAGGTTTCTTGTAAGCAAAAACCTACTTGAGATTGATCAGCACTAAATTTGACGGCTTATCAACTACCCGCCAGACACCCATTTTTGCCATCATTCCCATTTCTGCATCACATGCTTCTGTCTATCTACTTGTTTCTTTTGATTTCATTTCTTCAGTTTATGACCCAGTGGCTTTGGTATTTTGATATATTCATTTACATCTATTTCATGCTTTGCTGCTACATATTGCTTGTCAATCACAATTTCTTTGGTAAATTTGCCAAGTTTCAATGCATAGTATGTGCTTTAAGTTTCATTTGTTTGCGAGATCTTGATTCATGAGCTTGTTTAATGATTTCAATGATGTAAAACTAGTCTTTGTATGTGATGGTTCTTTGTTATTTTTGATGTTGTCTTCATACAGAAATTTTGCTATGGCTGATGCAATGAGTGTTTTTGATGCTGGCCCTTAAAATAACCAACCTTTTTCACATGTGACACACTCAGCCAATGTTCATCTTTGTCCTCTATCTTCCAGTTTTCCTGGTGATATTTGATTTGTATTGAACATGAACAGTTGATCCAGAAGTTTGTATGATGTCAAGTTGTGGGTTTTTCCTGTGGAGAAGTTTGTATGGTGTTATGGAGTCCATTGCATAATTATGGTTGTGCCATAAGCTTGATAATTCTGCAGGCACTTGCAGTGCACAAATGGAAGAAGGAAATTTACTACAATTATTCTATGGTTTTCTATGTTTATTGGTAAACTAATGTCTGTTCTTGTGAACTGAATGTATAACTTTGCCTGACTTTAATTCAATTTGATAATTGTTCTTCTCATCCATTGATATTTTTGCACCCTGTTTGCCCCTGGTTAAACAATAGTTGTGGTCACTTTCAGACAGTAATAAACATTCTTGATTGTTGCTGTTTCACCTTCTTCAGTCACCATTGGAAGTCTGGCTTTACCCACAATCATGGCATCAGAGTCATTAGCCGCTGTGTGAACAGTAATGGGTTTTGCAAGGGGTTGGAAGTCAGTGAGCAGGGAATGGTTGTTGCTTATAGCATCCATTGCTCCACCATCAAGCAAGTACTCAGTTGGGATATTGATTTCAACCTCTGGTAAGCCAAGACCTCCAGAATTCATTGATATTGCCAGTACATGCATTGCTTGAACTTTCTACCTCAGTTGAATTAACCTTTGTAGCTGGCATTTTGTATTTTTGAGGATATAATACATTGATACTGTAGGTCAAATGATTGTTGAGTTTCCTCCAATCATGATAATGAGTTCCAATTCTACCACTCTTTCTGTTGACAATACACCAATGAAGTTGGATCCATCTTTAGTAAGTTTTGTGAATTTAATATTTTCCGAAAGACTTTTCGTGGCTTGAGTTAAAGATGTGACCACAACACCTTTTTGCATTGTTTAAAGTACTTTTTGAGCCGTAAGGCTATCAAACACAGCATATATGGTCCAGCACTGGTAAAACCCCTCCAGCTGGGTAGGGGACAGGTAGCTGTTGACTATTTCATCTAGTATACGTGTGTAAAAAGGGGAAGACATGAAGAAGGGCAGTGAAGTATGGTGTGAGAATGATTTTGAGGTTCGGTGCAATTGTGTAGAGGGGGTTCTCCTGAGACGCTTGTCCATCCTAGGTGTTTTTTCCTCCTTGAAGCCTGGTTGTCGATGTCGCGCTCGAAGGCGGCTCGTGCCTGTGAGTGATTGTTGCATACGAAAAGAAAATGGTCAACGGATTCGACCCCCGAAGTCACCAATCGACGCTAAAACACATTTTGTATGGTAACTCGAAACCCAAATCTCAGAATTTTGAGAGTAAAGGATCGAGTTCTGTTTTGCCGAGGTTCGCATTGCGCAATGATGGATGAAATTTGAAAGCGTGTCGAGATGAACCGCTGATACATAATTTCCGCAATCGATCTTACTTAAGTCTCACTCTTACACTCATTCGAATGGCAGCACGTAAACCCAAAATGATGATGACTCATATAATATGGTATAAAGTGGCATGAAGTTCCCCTATATGTTCCTTTCAAGGTTCTTTGCTTGGCTCAGTTCATCCTAACGTCGAGCGCTTGTTTCTCAACATCTTGCTTCGCGGACGTCAATACAATACCTCAATTTGACTAAAACTAGATTATCATATTGTTTTAGGACCCTTCAGCTTGGACAGACAAAAATTATCATCAGTTTCGGTTGGACTAACATTTGTTGCACTCCCTCCTTGCTGGACGCGTTGACTCCTATTCTTAGACGATATGATCCAACCATATGGAATCCTTGCGCTCGCCGTCTTTCTGATTTGGTACAATCGTTTGAGCGCGGTGTCAGGCGGAACTATAAACTTGAAATTTGAAGGTCTTTGTAAGTGATCTTCAAACTCCAAACTCATTGATGTAAAACTGATTTGATTTGGTGACCAGATCCAGAAAATGGAGCCAGTCTTCCAAGTACTGGGATGATGTACTACAGTGCGGTTTATAAAGCAACTGTGGTGAAATATGATCCAAAAAGGCAAAATTTCAAAGAAATCACTATTCCTTCTGTTACTGGTCAGCCCAACACCCACGTCTCGGGTATTGAAGCCGACAGATCAAGTCCTTTAATTTGGGCTATTGTGAATGCTGCTTCCGCTTTTGATACAAATGGAGCGTAAGCATACATCTTGCATATTAATTCAAATCTCGCTTGGTTTTTGGGAATTCTTTATTGATGTTTAATGTCTACGATACTTTGGGGTTAGTCAAATTTCAGGTCCAGCTGGACTTGTTGGGATCGACACAAACGATAAAATTGTTTTCAATGTCGATTTGAACCCTGCTCTTCAAGAGGTCCAGCGTGTGAACGGTGGTATAGAAGCAGGTGGGGCACAAGATGCGGTATGTCGAGTTCCTTTGCTTTCACTGTCTCTCCCGTGATGTTTGTTTGCAAAAAGCGTAATGTTTATCATATTGTGCCTTATGGATTTCCTGTCTAGACAACTGATCACGAGGGAAATGTATACATAAGCATTAGTTTTGGTAAGCAGTTTATTTTCAATTTGTCTTTGAAAGACAAAAAAGAATTATAGGATGTTTCCATTATATATCGTTAGAACCTGAATCATTTTGTCTTTTATTTCAGGTCAAACCATCCTGAAATTTGATCCAAAGACTCAAAAAACTTCAATTTTTTACATGAAAATGCAACCCAAACCAAAGACCATGGGCATAACTGGTATTGAATTAGTCAACTCCAATACTTTAATTGTTTGGAATAATGAAAATGGAAAATTAGAAGTAAATTTTGAGATTATTCTAGTAAATTATCTACTCGTCAATTCACTAATTCAATTTGATCTCAATCTAGTCTTTTGATATTCATTCACCTAAAGTTGAGCCTTTCATCCCAAAAGGTGATTATTTACCCAAAACAACGATCGCAGACGGAGTGTTTATTCCTAGCTTTAGTAAAGGGACTTGTTTACTTCTTAATAATTGTGCACTAAACCAAGTAGAAGTAAGTGAAAATGATTTATGTCTCACAGGCATACAGACTCTAGAAATGAACCTTCTCGCGTTTTTCTTGTTGTCTTAGGTCTTAAAATCACATGACAATTGGAAAACCGTCACTCATGCAGGCTCGATCCCCACTAAGAAATTCAGTGGAATTTCAGTTTTCACGTATGAGATTGACTCACGAATATATTTTGGTACAGCAGTAAGTTTTTGATCTAATTTAATCAAATCTTTGTTGTTCTTTTATATGATCCAGGTCTTGATCAAACCTCTTTTTGGTTTTGTTTTTCGAAAAAAAGTACTTCACCGATCCCAAACCTCGTAATCGGAATCTCTTCCCTCAAGGTGATATAACTCATGCAGTTACAAAAGCCTGCACTTAGCATAAGAGTTGCAAATTCATCAAATCTATTTAAATTGGACATTATATCTCCATTGTCTCTGCTCAGTTTTTATTGAAGTTTATCATTCAAGCATCATTCTATTGAGAACCGTATTTTCTCTTCATAGCACTAGTAACCATCCAGCCTGTCCGCTTTGAGCTTTTCCTTCTATTTGTTTCTTTTTGTTCTATGTTTCTTATTTCGTTTTAACTAATCCCAAAGCGGTGAATGAGAGTCACAATTACTTCATGTATCGCAAACCTATGTCTAGAGAAACTTACCGTATAAAAGATGTGCTTCATGATTGTTGTTCCGTTTTCCTCACTCAATCATTGTCTCATCTTTCTCGCACACCTTTCTACAGGTGCCTACTTTCTCTTATCTCACTCCCTAGTGATCCTGGCTTTATAGTGCCCATACTCACTAAGTGTCGTGATTCTTCAGGTTTGCATTATTGTCTACTTCACTACTTTGATGTTCGTTGCTTATAATAAATTACTCAATCATTGTCTCATCTTTCTCGCGCACCTTTCTACAGGTGCCTACTCTCTCTTATCTCACTCTCTAGTGATCCTGGCTTTATAGTGCCCATACTCACTAAGTGTTGTGATTCTTCAGGTGCCTACTTTCTCTTATCTCACTCTCTAGTGATCCTGGCTTTATAGTGCCCATACTCACTAAGTGTCGTGATTCTTCAGACATCTGCCCCTGCCTATTTTATTAGGTTATGAGCCCAGCCAGCACATCTTAAACAGATTCAGCGCTACCACTTTATATGAGTGATAATCAAGTCCTCGACAATCAAACTCTCGACGACTCTACTGCACCATCGACATCTTCAGCACAATCTCCAGTTCGCTCCAACTTTCCAGCCCCAATTCTCAATATGTCCAATCTCAACTCGGCTTCCGAAGCCAAGGACATTGCTCCTCTGGAGCATGACTGGCAAAGGTGGTCTCCACTGATGCTTGCTCATTTTATGGAATGGGATCTCGATGCCATTGTTGATGGCACCAAAGCTGCACCTGCAGACGACGCAACTGATGAGGTAAAACTTGCTTATCTCAAACGACAAAAGAAGGCTGCCGGTTTCATTTCTCGCAAACTAAGCCCTGAAAACCGAGCCCTTGTTATCAACTCGACTAACATCAAAGATCCCAAAGCTATCTGGGATGCTTTGGTTAAGCTCTACGCCTCCACTAAAGCTCGTAACCGAGCTCGTATCTTGCGTAAATTTCTTAATCTCAAATGTGCAGATAACTCTCTTGAAATTTTTCTCATTGAATACTGACGCATCACTCATGAAATGACGGAGGTTTTGTTTAAAATCGATGATGATATTCTCGCCCACATGCTTCTCTCTAAACTTTCTCCTCGCTATCATTCCACTCGAGATTTATTATCGCACACTGCTGAGACTTCAGATACCCTTCTCTCTCTCGATCAAGTTTTTGAGCATCTACAACAACTTGTGCTTGATAATCAACCCGGTGCTGCTTCTACTCCTAGTCCTGCTGCCCTAATCGCCGAGCGTCGTTCTACTCCTACCTATGAGCGCTGCTTAAATGGTAGTCATAATCCTTTAACTGCTCATTCTGAAGAAAAATGTTATCAATTGCATCCCGAGTTAAAACCTTCTCGAAACAATCGAAACTCTTCTCGTGGTTCAGCGAATGCTACGATAAGTGGTACGGTCCTCGCTACCTACGTCTTCAATGCTACCCTTACCGGCAAACCTGTTCTTGACTCAGGCGCTTCTCAATCCATGTTTAGCCTACAATCTAGCTTTGTTAGTTATCGACCTTGCCACGCCACCATCAATGTCGCCAACGGTCAACAAATCAACGCCGTTGGAATTGGAACCGTCTCCGGAACTCATGACGGTAAAACCATTTCCATTACCGACTGTCTTCACGTTCCCCAGCTTCAAACAAATCTCGTCAGCATGGTTGCTCTTGTCAGAAAAGGTTGCACATTCATATTTACTCCGAGCGCTAGTTTCAACGTTATTCTTGATTCTAATGTGGTACTTACTGGAGATACCAAAAGTGGAGTTATGGAGATTAATCTGAACTTAGGCAAGTCACCGCTGCATTCTCTCGCCACGACCAACTTCACTAACTCAGTCACTCTTCACAGACGCCTAGGTCATCCCGGTCCTATCCCTTTTGAAAAAGCTTTTCCCGGTTTAAAATTCTCTGATCCTTGTGAATCTTGTGTACTTTCCAAACATCACCGTCTCCCTTTTAAAGGTCATCTTCCCACAGCCTGTGATCGCTTATCTGTGTTACATAGTGATTTGAGTGGCTTAATTTCTCCTGTTTCTCTTGGCGGCGGAAAATATTACTTTAAAATCACGGATCAATTCTCAAATTTCAAATTTGTCTATATTCTAAAATCTAAATGTCAAACTTTTTCATCTTTTGTTCAATTCAAAGCCCTTATTGAAAATCAAACCAATTTGAAGATCAAAACCATGATCAATGACAACGGAGGAGAGTACACTTCAAATCAGTTCACTGAGTTTCTTAAGAATGAAGGCATTAAGATGGATTTTACCGCACCTTATACACCTCAACAAAACTCCATTTCCGAAAGAGGTAATAGAACCACCTCTGAAAGAGCTCGAGCATTACTTAAACAAGCCAGTCTTCCTCTACTTTTCTGGGCTGAAGCTGTATCTACCACTGTCTATCTCAAAAACTTAACTCCTATTGCTAGAGATAACTTTGTCACACCTTATGAAACTTGGTTTGGTAAACCTCCTTCTTACTCCCATCTTCGCGTATTTGGTTGCTTGGCCTATGTGCATGTGGGCAAGGAACGAAGAGCTAGTAAGTTTTCTGACGTGGCAAAGAAGGGTGTTCTTTTAGGGTATCAAGGGTCTATGCATAATTATCGTGTATGGCTTCTTGATGAGCAACGAGTAGTCTACAGTCATGATGTGGTCTTTAACGAAGAAGTTTTCCCTTTTGCCGATCCAATCGTACGAGCTCATTTTGATAGTAGATTCGACTCAGGCTTACACTCAACTTTAGAAGAAGACGACGAGTTCAGTCAGGCTGAAGAACCTCTTATTCCCTCACCTATTCATTCACTCAGCTACGATGAAGATCTTTCCCCAGCGGTTGATGAAGGTTTAACTAATTCTATTTCTCAAAACCACACTCCGGAGCCACCTGAACAACCTCTTCGTGACCCAACTCCTGAACCACCTGACACTCCGCCTCGCACACCAACACCTGATCCACCATCCAGAGAACCCACTCCTCCGCTTGAGCGACTTGAACCTACTGGTTCTACTAACCGACCATCCTTCCAGATGATACCAGCCACTATTCCAGCACCCAAAGCCATTTCGAGTGCCATTGACATGTCCAACATCATCACTCACAAACGGAGAGCAAACGTCGCTCGAAGTCAACCGTCTGAACCCCAATCCTACCGACAAGCCATGTCTTGACCTGATTCCAAAGCCTGGGAAATCGCCATCCAAAAGGAACTCTCGGCACTCATCGAGATGGGTGTATTCACCAAAATGGAACTACCTGCCGGTGCCCATGCTCTTGGAACGACTTGGGCCTTCCGATTGAAGACTAATGAAGACAACGTCATTATCAAACACAAAGCTCGTTTATGCGCTCAAGGCTTCTCGCAAATACCTGGTCTAGATTATAATGAAACCTATGCCCCAACGGGACGAGCCTCAAGTATGCGACTTGCACTTAGTGTTTGTGGAACTGAGGATCTTGAGATCCAACTCATGGATGCTGTTGGTGCTTTTCTCAACGGAATTCCGGAAGAAGTACTTTACGTCAAAATACCGCAAGGCTACACTCCGAAGATGACTGGTAAGAACATTGTGCTGCTTCTGAATCGGACTTTATATGGTTTGAAGCAATCGCCTCGGTGCTGGTACATCATGGTTAAGGATTTCTTTGCAACTATCAATTTCATTCCTTCGCAGTCCGACCCTTGTTTGTTTATCTCGTCCGACCCATCTTGGAGATGTTTTGTTCATCTGCATGTAGATGACATGCTCGTCATGGGAGTCAATACTCAACGCTTTTCTGATCTTATTCAAACTCGCTTCAAGATGGAAGATATGGGCGAATGCTCTTTCTATCTCGGCATGCGTATGGAGCGTGATCGACTGGCCAAAACTGTAACACTCACTCAAGACAAATACATACTGAACATGCTTGAGGAGTATGGCATGTCTGATTGCCATCCTGTGTCGACTACGATGATCCCTGGCTCCTACTTAACACCTGCCTCTGATTCCGACCATCAAGAATTTCTCAATTCAGGACTGAACTACAACCGAGCGGTAGGCCTTCTGAACTATCTAGTCTTATGCACCCAACCTGATCTGGCTTTCACAGCTGGTCAGTTGGCTCAACATTTGAAGAAACCTGGCCCTAATCATTGGGCAGCTTTTAAACGTGTACTTCGTTACTTGCAAGGTACTTATAATGATGGTCTGGTATTAGGTGGTGGTCCGATTGAACTCAAAGTTTTCGCTGACTCAGATTACGCTGGATGTCCAACTACTCGTCGGTCAACCACTGGATTCATTGCTCATGTAGGGGGTGGCTGCGTTAGTTGGCAATCTCGCAAGCAAGCTTCGGTATCAACTTCATCAACTGAGGCCGAGTATCGTGCAGCTTATGAGGCTGCTCAAGAAGCGATATTTTTAAGAAGGGTACTCAGTGATCTTGGATGTCCTCAATCAGCAAGCACACCTCTTTTATGCGACAATCAAATTTCTTTAGCCTTACAGAAAAATCCTCTATTCAAAGATCGATCAAAACACTTTGCTGTGCATCTGCATTGGATTAGAGAAAAAGTACATGATGGAACCATTTTACCTACTTACGTGTCAACTAAGGAGATGCTAGCTGATGTTTGCACCAAGTCACTTCACAAGCCTCAACATCAATATATTCTCAGCTTATTTAGAACTTAGGATGCTTACTATTGAGGGGGGGTATTGAGAACCGTATTTTCTCTTCATAGCACTAGTAACCATCCAGCCTGTCCGCTTTGAGCTTTTCCTTCTATTTGTTTCTTTTTGTTCTATGTTTCTTATTTCGTTTTAACTAATCCCAAAGCGGTGAATGAGAGTCACAATTACAGCCGTTGTGAGAACTATTGGTAAGTTTTGAGGTGATGGGTGTCGCCGAGTTTTAACTAGAGTTTAATCTTTGGTCCAAAACTCAGTTTTTTTTGATCTCACAGGCCTAAACCTTGTTTTGGCTCCTGCAATATGCCTGTATCTCACGGTACTCATGGTCAAAAAGGAGTTTTTTTTAGTTTTTGCCAGTTTTGGATTAAATCTCGACACAACACAAAATAAAAAAAAGTTACCGTTAGTTCTCACAACGGCTGTACTTCATGTATCGCAAACCTATGTCTAGAGAAACTTACCGTATAAAAGATGTGCTTCATGATTGTTGTTCCGTTTTCCTCACTCAATCATTGTCTCATCTTTCTCGCGCACCTTTCTACAGGTGCCTACTTTCTCTTATCTCACTCTCTAGTGATCCTGGCTTTATAGTGCCCATACTCACTAAGTGTCGTGATTCTTCAGGTGCCTACTTTCTCTTATCTCACTCTCTAGTGATCCTTATAATAAATTACTCAATCATTGTCTCATCTTTCTCGCGCACCTTTCTACAGGTGCCTACTTTCTCTTATCTCACTCTCTAGTGATCCTGGCTTTATAGTGCCCATACTCACTAAGTGTCGTGATTCTTCAGGTGCCTACTTTCTCTTATCTCACTCTCTAGTGATCCTGGCTTTATAGTGCCCATACTCACTAAGTGTCGTGATTCTTCAGACATCTGCCCCTGCCTATTTTATTACATTCATTGGTCTTATGAGTCCAAATCCAGTGCAAATCTTTGTTGTATCATGTTTCAACTCATTTTGTCCTTTAGTTATTTAAATCCCTTCAATGCATAGGCACTTACAGTACTCAAAGCTACACATGTACATGGATATAGTTTTCTTATTTGATTTCTTGTTTTTTCTTGTGGGGAAAAAAGTATATTTGGCCGGTCCCAGAACATATAGCTTTGAAGACCCCCACATAATTTCTATTGGAATCTCTGACTTACCTCATGCCTTGTGTTGGACATTGACACTCGAGATGAGATCGTAGAAGATGGTTGATGACTTGGTCGCTGTGTACATAGATTGTAGTAAAGGGCAGGAACGATCAGTGCAGACGAGGAGCTCACAGCATCAAAAAGTGGAATGAGATATGTATGCACTGTGCAGTGACTTACATGACGATCCTCTTCTCGGCCCACCTTTCAAATGTCTGTCATCACCAGTACCATGATCAACTTTATACCTCAATGACCGGTATATCGGAGGGCACCAGCCACCAAAAAAACACTAGCCCTTTACATGATTTTGCCTGAGTCGAGAGTTCATCACAGCACATCGAGGTAGAAGACTGATCAGATCGCTGTGTCGAAGGTGTAAGATCCTTAGGAAAATCTCAAGCGACAGTATTGAAAGGAGAGACCTTCCTGGATGTATAGAAAAAACCTTCAGGATGGATGGTCGATGATGTGGTGGAAAAAAACATTCATGGATGATATAAAATGAGCCACATTCATCCACCAAAATGTTCGCCTCCATCCTCTATCCATCAGCTCGCTTGAATCCAAACAATTCATCATCCCACCTTCTTGATCCAGCTCACTTAAATCCAAAAAATCGTCATCCTTCACCACCTTCTTGATTAATCGGTTAACAGAGTTTTAACACTTTCATAAATCAAAATGAAATTATTTGCCTTCGTGTTTGCATCAGTCGTCTTGTCGTTTGTGAGTAGCTTCAGCAATTGCTTTTTGTGACTTGAATTTCCAAATCACTCAAAGCTGATCACTTCATTTCGTTCAGGTCTCTGGTAATCCTACCTCAATTCCAGACTATAAGACTGTCGATTTGGTCTGGAAGGGAGAAGTGGTTCCAGGAGGTGAAATTTACACTTTCCATGGGACTGTAGAGTCAATCTATGAGGAAATCATCGCCATAAATCCTAACTATGCGCAAGAGAAATTTGAGAAGAAGGAAGATAACTATGATTCACAACACGAACTTCAAAAGAGAGACAATGTAAGCCTTCTAGAAGACCCTCTTTCTGAGGATGAAGATATCGACTGATTGAAACCAAAACAACTTCTCAATGTAGATTATTTGTGACCCAGCCGGTGATATGGCTACTTACAGGGATCTCAAAAGTGTTATAAGTCGGCTGAAAGGGATGGGTAACGCTCAATGCACCGCTGCAGCCGGTCCGGCAGTTTGCACTCGCTTAGGTTGCAATTACGGATCTTATGTGACATTTTGTAACGATGTGAGCTAGTTTTTTTCTCAAGGATGTTACAAACAATTGATCCAGTTTCTGAATCGTTTCTTTTTGACCTCGTTGATATCTAGAATAGTAACTCGATCACAAGAAACTGTGGTGAACTTGGGGATATGGCACAAAGAATAGTAGACTCGTGTATAGCTAGGAACTCTGCGGTGGTCAAGGGACAATATTTCAACTCTGCTTTTAAATTCAATGCTCTCGTCAAAGGTGGTGGTGCATGTTGAGGTTTCCTTGGGTGATTGTGTTATGATGCTTCACCTCTCTATCTTGTATATCAAACTGCTACAAACTTGTAAAGTTCTTCACACATCCAATCCATGTAGTCTTCTGGATATGTGTTTTTGTCTGTTCATTTCCTTTTTTAGTTGTGACTTTCTCTGGTTATCTGGCTCTTGCAAGAAGAAACCCATCCTTATCGGGTATGGTTAGCCACCATTTGTGTCGTAGCTGATCCACAGGGACATACCAGTTTCAAAAGCTGGTCCATGTAACTCTTTTCGCGCTTTTGCCCAGGATAGCCGAGTGCCATGTGTTCAAGACCTTTAGAACTCCACATTGCTCTGTAATTCAAAAAGCTTTTGTTACTGGCGAACATGGTTCATGAGCTGTTGCGATTTGTGACCTGTAATATATTTCAAAAAAAACTTATGACGACAGTTGCCCCCAAGACTGTCTGGAGTCAAAGCATTAAGTGGAATCGATCTAAATTTATCAACCCGTCATCTTTTGGTACAATTTTCTATGATAGGGATACTCTGAAATCATTTTGATGAGAGTTTTCTTAGACTTAAGAAGTCACTCTGATTGGGAACTTTTGAGAAAGCTTTTACATAATTTGACTTCATCATGGTTGTTGTAGAAAAACAAATGGTGTGCACTTGGTCTTGATTTCTCTTCAGCTCCCATGCCTCAAAGCACTTGATTCTTTGAGGATTCACAAATGTTACTGACTTCCTTGGCTTTGCCAATCATTCAATACCACCACTCTGCTATCCCTAGGGGCTGCATGAGACGTGCTCTGTGAAACCAATGAATGAAAATCAACCACAAGCCCGGTTAGCTCAGTCGGTACCCATTTTTTGAAGGGCTTTCACACCATTGGATGCAATCAAATTGTTGGGGTTGTAGCGCCTGACTGCCTATAAAGGAGACTGATCTTTGACTTTTCATAAAGAGTAATTTTTTTATGTATAAATGTATCACTAGCCAGATTAGGGGCAGGCACCGCACTGCCATATGAAATCAATTGTCACTCAATGTTATGCTCATGGCAATTCAAATTGTGACTCATCTATCAAGAATCTCACATAGGGACACACCAAGGGACTGGTTGTATACATCACGCAAGTGATAAACAGCCCCACAACCTTTTATTCCCATGCAAATTAACAGCTTTGACACAAGCAAACTATACACTGCTACTAAGCTTCACATATCATACCAACCTGCTTCCCATCACTCAAGGCATTAACCAATGCTAAACACCAAAGTAAAAAGTAACCATATCAAAAAAATTCCTATCCATTTGTACAACTGCCATATAAATACCCCTGAGCTTCCCTTATTCATAAGCCTTGCCTCCAATCTTGTTTACATCTACCTACCCAGATGCCAGGTGATTTAATGATGATTAGCACAAATCAAACTGTAAAACACCATGTAATGATGCACTAAACATTACAAGCATACACTTCAACTATAAACATATACCACAATATTCAATTAGACACATAAACTCAAGACTTAACAAATTGTTACATCTCATTTTCATTCAAAGTGTGCATTGTACTGACTGCTTAGAGCACCCACTATGGTGGGAGTGTTTTATTGTAAATTTTGTGTTCCTGAGCGGAAAGTTTGATCATGTGTGTTTTACCAAAGTTGGTGACCACATGAAATCCGCTATGGGATGATTTATTGTCTGCTTTCCCTAGTTCCTACAATATATCAAGTTGTAGGCTTGCATAGATCTGAACACGTCGGGCACAAGATTTGACACGGTTGTACAGACCACAGGTCTAAAACAGGTCCATAGTGGACCTGTCTGTCTTTTAGCGTTAAACTGATGCGAAATCACGTGAACACAACCATAGTGGATGCTCTTAGGGAATTGAGAACTGATATCATTTTGATATCCTTTGGATTCAGGCAATTCAATATTAGTTCCTTGGGTTCTAGAGAAATCAAGTCCACTACGTGGCATCTGAACCCACATTCCCTCGGTGAGAACTTCACTTCAAGTGAGGACCACATGTCCTTTACATGCCAACCACTGTATGCCACTGCCCAACAGTTCCAAAAATGGTAAAACAAAAACAGCTGAACCACATATCTGATGCGGTTGGATTGTGTATGAACAAAGTTTCCATGGATCACTTTTCCTTCACTTTGCCCAATCCACTAGGGGATTGACATACTTGTGCAAAATATGGGTCCCGTGATAAGGTGATTGGACACCCAATGAGTTTCTGCTGTTCTCCCATAGTTCCCCAAGGACTGCAACATATGCACCCTCAACATGTACCATGGCATGAGACTGCAATTTAGGATTGATCATGTGAATGCAGGTATCTCAAATCTTCATCCATGTTGCCAATATTACTGATCCTGCTGAGTGGAGAGGTCAACTGGCAAGCTCAGATAGTGAAGTATAGAGGTGGTTTTGAAGATCATGATGAACCATTGCTCAAAGATGTAGATTCTGAATGGATGTGTACCCCATCCAGTTTTGTGGTTTCAATGGACTGAATAAGAGTGTATCAATCACAGCTGTAAAACCTCCCAGTGTTGCTCTAATTAATATAACTAACAATGATTCAGAATGAATGAGAAAGATCAGATTAGTTTGATGGAAGTTAACTGATATTCAACTTTGAAAGACAAGACTTACGTTGGTTGAGGTTCAGTTTGAGATTGATATTGAGGAGTAGATTGAGTTTGCTTTGAAGGAGAAGAAGATTGCTGAAGTAAATTAATTGTTGATTTTGATTTTTTTTGTTTGAAGAAGCTTTAAAGGGGATGTGGTGTTATGAGCACTTTACCATATGCTTATATGTAGACATACTTGTACTGTGTTCATCTCTACACCACCAACATATTTACCTCAGATTGAAAAATCCGAGGTATCCTTGGATGCCAAACCTTGGACAGCAGCTTCCCAAGGTTTTGATCTGAGGCAATTCTCAGTGCAAAAGAATACCTTGGATGGAAGCCTTGGACAGGGTCTGTCCAAGGATTTACCTCTGATGATGCCTGGGATATCTTGACCCAAGGCATCTATGTTGGCAGTGCTAGTTAGTAGTCTGGAGGATTAGATTCTTCTATTCCTCACGTAGCAATCTATTTACCATCCTGGAGGACCCTTACGCTCACATCTTGCATCTCCATGCCTAGAGAGTCCTATCAGAGCCAAATTTCAGCATATGCTACCGGTGGAGATCTGATGATCCTGGG